GCAAATTTTGACAACAAGGCGATTAAAATCGCAAGATCTAGAAGGAGAAAACAAGTTTGCAGCGGAAAACAGAGAGATCAAGGATCAATATCTGGCGAATGATACCATGTTGAGATGTGCGAGATCGAAAGAAAGAAGAAGGGAAAGCTTCGTATATTTTCAGATGAAAGGGAAAAATGAGATACAAAAGTGTGTTAGGGTTTACAAGACTCCCTATTTATATCAATACAGATACAAGTAAAATTGCTATTAACTAAAAGACAACTTTAGCTTAGGCTAATAAGGAACAACATATAATGGACAAAGTACAACTCCTAATAACTTGAAACATAAATATATTAATTGATAATAATTTTATTTTTCAAATTAATATTTAAAATAATTTTATTATTGTTATAAAGTAAATATAACTTAATTTTTGTATACATACAATATGGATGTTAAATCGAAGTTCATTAAGAGATGATTAATTTGATATATTATATATGTAAAACTGAAAAAAAAATACAGAAGTTATTAACTTTTAAAATTCATTTATAGTTCAATGGTTATAATAAGAAATGATATTAAAATGATACATGTAACATGACCATAATTAATTAACATTTTTATAGATAATCCAAATCTAATTATTCTTGGATTGTAAGTGAATTAAAATCTTCCCAAGTCTAATAACGAAGCATGTAATTTTGCCACATAAGAACCCGAAACATGCAAGCCTGCCACTTAGGCTCTTCACGTTTTGAATTAATATATAGGGAGATAATTATTTATAATTTGCAATTGATTTAATTTAATTTATAAATGGTTTATAGCAATTTAGACATAATTATAAGTATATTTCAATTTAGGTATTTTTAAAAGATGTTTCTTTTTAAAATTATTGATTTTAAAATAGGAAACATAGAATTGTCAAAGAAAATAAAATATAGATTTCCCTTTTTTTTTTCTCTTTATTTTTTTTCTCTTTAGTAATATATAGATATGCATATAGATTCTTTTAATTATATAGTATAAAAAAAATTTTAAGTATAAAAATTTTTTTAAGAAATGAAAATAAAATATTTTTAGTATATGAGATATAGGAAGTAGTTAAAGTATGAAAAGAAAAAGAACAAAATCAAATTATTGATCAGTTTATTCTGATTTTTCTGCATACCCACAAATTTTGACAAATACTTCATAGAATATATCGTGGATCTTGAAATTGATACAAATCAAAAGAAGTTTTTTGATTCTAAAGCTAAAATAAAATACTCATCACCCACAGAAAAAAA